GGTCCCTGAAGTTCCATGCATGTGTGTTGATTGAGGACTGACAGGCTGAGCCTACCTTAAGTTGTTCCTGATGTTAAACTCAATCCTGTGCCTCCTGGGAGTCTTATCTCCTCCAGTGACTCAGCCTGGTCCCTTGGGTTTGATTCCTGGCTCTGCCAATCATTGCTTAGCCCAGTGAGCTTGGGCTTGGTTTTCTAGTCTGTGAAATGGGGGTAACAACAGGACCTACCTCTGTGCATTGCTGCAAGATTAAGTGAAGCCATAAGTGTGAATCACTCAGGGCAGTACCTCAATTAGTCAGCCCTGTCAGTGGCAGGAGGAGGCACCTACCTGTTTGGCCAGGTGAGGGTGGTAGATGAGCAGCCAGAGAACCTGATTCAAATCAATCTATTTACCAACCACTGCGGGACCTTGGGCAAGTTCTTTAACAATCTTGTCCCTCAACTTCCTTATCTATAAAATGCCACAACAATACTATATAATCTGGCAAACTTGAAAGCTATATTAATTCTTTTATGTCACATATGTAGATTGAGGCCTGAAACATAGTAGGTTCTCAAAAAAAGTCAAGCATTTCCCCAAGCCTGGGGGATCTGGTGTTCAGAAAAAGCCAACTCCTATTTTACCAGCCGTCCCTCCTCAAGGTGGGTCTGTCCTGTTGACAAAGTCCTTCTGGTTCGCCATGTGCAGCCTGAGCTCAGGAAAAGCAAGGCCCAGAGAGAGGCAGAACCCACTCTGGGACACACAGGAGCAGTGGCCAAACTAGATCAGGCTAGACCTGCCTTCCAGCTGGTTCACCCTCAGTGCCTCCTGGGTTTCCAGGCCCTACTGGCCTGACCTGTGACCCTGGGCCCCCTGGGAGCCCAATCCCAGGCCTGTGGGGTCTGAAAGTCTGGTCTGGATTAGACACGCTGAGAAGCAAAGGCTGCCCCCCCCACCGGAGCTGGCCGCCTGGTGGGACCTGAGCTCACAGCTGCTGAGGCTCACAGGGACATAAATCATGGTGGCAGGAGGCTCGGGGGTTGGGACCACCTTAGCCTCCTGAGGGCCACAGAGGCCTGAAAGTCAGGAGCAGGGAAGCCTGGGTCCCCTGGGAGTATTATCTGTCCTCGTTAGATTAGCTGAAGGGTGGGTCAGCGGGGCCAGGGGACCTCTTGGGAGACCTCGCATTGAGTGGGCCAAGGTCCTGGCTTCTCTAACTCCTCATTGTGCATTTACAAACATGCAGAGGTGACAAGAGCAGCGTGGAGAAGTCCCTTACGCCCTCACCCAGGGCCACCAGCATTCACCAGTGGTCACAGTTGCTTTATCCCTTTTCTGTCAATTGCCCACGGTTTACTTTTTCCTGACTCTTTTGAGAGTATGTGGCCTACCTCAGCTCCTGTGTCCCCGAAGGATCCTTAGTTCTTAAGCACAAGGATATCCTCTTACATGACCACGGTCCTGATAGCAAATTCAGAAAATTCACCTTTGATACAACATTTTATTGCTCACATTCTAATTTTGTCAACCAATAACGTCCCCTGGAGCATCCCCCACCCCATAGCACAGGATCCAGTTCAAGGGCATGCGTTGCATGTAGCTGTCAGGTCTGGACTTCGGATATCAGAACCACGTGAGGTCAGACAGACAGCAGGAGGAGAAGGTGGGATGAGGAGGGTATCAACACGAACCTCCCAGAATTGATGCTTCTGTAGACCCTCTAATTATAGAAAGCCCTCGAAACAGTGCGTTGTGCTTGGTGGCAGTGCGTATGAGGTGGTCTGGCTGGGGTTGGTTATTCCATGTCCCCTCAGCCCTGGTTTTCTTCTCTCTGAACAATGTTGCTCCTCTGGCCCCAAGTTGGCCTGGAGAACCTTGGCTGGGCTGGTCCATCCTGGAGGGGGAAAGCGTGGATGGTGGGGGAGGGGCAGTGTTAGGAAAATCACCCCCAGAGGTATTGGTCCACAGCTGTGCTTCTTCCAAGTCACATGGATGGAACTGACCTTCAGCTCACTCATGGACATTAACTGTCCCCTGCCCAGGAAGACAGTTCCAGTGCCTCATGGAGCACTATGCAGCTGTGAAAAAGTATGGACCAGTTCCTTGAACACCAAGGGTCTCTAAGAAGTATTAGTAAAGGAGAAACAAAAAATCCAACTATAAAGCAAAGAATCTAACATGCTTTCACTTGGGTGAAAAATCTGTATAATGTATATGACGTACATGATTTCCCTAACTGCTGACCCTCCCTGCAGGAGCTCCTAAGTCCCTGCATCACAGTAATTGCCTCTGAGAACTTAAACTGAGTGGCTGAGAGCAGAGGAGACTTCTTGTCAGTTTATTCTCTTTTGTGGCTTTTGGATTTTGAGCTCTGCAAGTGTATCATCCATGTCAAAGGAGAGGCAATTGAGAAACCCAGCGTAAGCAGGAGTGCTGGCCCCAGGATCCCAGGAAGCTGCTAACTGCATTTCTTGACCTGCTGCCTGGGCACACAGGTGCGCTGAGTTGGCGGAAATTCACTGTGCGGTGCTTTGGCAACTTGTGCACTTTCCCAAATATATGTTATGATTTGATAAAAAGTTGTGTTTTTTTTGGGGGGGGAGGAGGGGGTACTAGGGATTGAACTCAGGGGTGCTCCACCACTGAGCCCCATCCCCAGTCGTTTTAATATTTTATTTAGAGACAGGATCTTACTGAGTTGTTTAGCGCCTCGCTTTTGCTGAGGCTGGCTTTGAACTCGAGATCCTCCTGCCTCAGCCTCCTGAGCTGCTGGGAGTATAGGTGTGTGATAAAAAGTTCTAACTTAGCATGCTGTAGATGCAGAGTGTACGCGTAACGAAAACCCCATGGGCTCCACACTGTGGTGATTTCTAGGATTTGGAACATATGAACCTATGAACTCCCCCCCCCATCCTGTGGTGCTGGGGGTGGAACCCAGGACCTTAGCACATGATAGACAAGTGCTTGGCCACTGAGCTACCTTCCCAGCCCCGTGTTTGAACTTTTTATAATGAAGACATAAGCAGAGAAACCTACAAATATTTTTTCAGACATAGTAATCAGTGTAGAGCTTTCTGGAAGGACCCACAGGAAACTGCTAACAGCAGAGGCCTTTAGGGAGGGGCCTCAGGGAGGTTATGGACTTTTCACTGCCTAGTATCTGATACAATTTGAACTTGAACTCTTTACTCAGTGCATAAATAATCTATTAAAAACTATTTAACAAAGCAAAATAAACACTCTTCTTTCTGTTGTAATTGCTCTTGCTGGCTAGAGTTTGGGCCAAGGAGGCTCAGAGGGGTCAAGCAACAACCCCAGGGTCACCCAGCAAATCTGGTGGCAGAAGTGGGCCTCCAGCCCAGAGCACCCAAGTGTCTGCCCTGCCTCCATTCCCAGGTTTCCTGCCATTGACAAGGTCACAGTCCTTTTCCTGTGGCCTTGCCAGAGGCTGCCTGTACCTGGATCAGAGTAGGCGCAGTGAGAGCAGTATGCTACCAAGGGAAAGTGCAGCCCATGGGGACACAGGATGGGCAAGACCAGGCTCCCTGGCACACCAGGGAAGTGAGGTAGAGCTGCTAGAAAGCTCTGTGGTGGACAGGCCCCTGGGATCCTCCTCCTCCTCACTGCATGCAAAAGGGGTTAGGTGTGCTGGTTTCAGGACTGGCTGCAACCAGCACTGGCACTTCTGACCGCTCCCCTGCCTGCTTGGGTTTTAGTCCATCAGTGACAAAGACCAGGTGGGTCAGGCTCTGTCCTGTGGCGAACTGGCACAGCAATGGTGCACAGGATGCTGGGAAATTGTTGATCTGCAAAATGGGCAGCCCCGATTCAGGCTCGGTCAGAAGGGCAAATGCATGGGAGGGGGGTGCCAGGCGCAGGGAACAGGGGCGTGGACGGTGGAGCAGGACTGCCTCGCGTGACCCACACAAGTGTTTGTGAAAAGAAAAAATAAAATAAAAAATAAAAACCAGGTATGTGGATGCACCTTGCTAGGTTAAGGCAGCTCGGGCCTCTCCCTGCCTCCTCCTCCCTCTGGCCTCCTGACCTCCTTTGACCTTAGTCTCCCAGGGACACAGGCCTCACGAAGAGCACCTAGAGTTCTGGGCTCAACTAACCCTAAAATGGTAAACCTGGTCCCCACCTCCAGGGCTTCTGGGGGTACGCTCGGGGCCCTGGGGGCTGGCACTCCATCCAGGCAGGGGCAAGAGCTGCTCTGAGCTTTGAAGGTGGCGTGTCACCCCACCATGTGCCTTTGGGCGTCATTGGTCCTCAATCTTCTCAGCTAAAACAAGGTAAGAATGTCCACTGTAACACACCCATTTGCACACGCGGAAGACGGCACACCTGCCCGCCTCCCAGTCAGTGAAGGACAGGTTCAAGAACGGTGCAGTCCTACGAGGGAATGTGAAGCAGCTAACAGTGGAACAAGGACACCCTTCCTGTCCCCACGTGGGCTGGGAGCAGGCCTCATTAACCCAATAAGTCCCGAGTTTTCAATTCTGCAAACAGAATACATACTCCAATATTATTTCAAAGTTACCCTTAAGCTATCGTGGCTCAATTTTAAGTTTTCACAGGTGTTCCCCATCCGGGCGGTGGGACAATATGGGTCAAAGGAAAAATTTTTTTAAAAGGAAGCAGAAAGTCGTACAGTAGCTATGATCTGTGTCCTTGCTTGATTATTCGTAGGGAATGGGGAGGTCACAAAAAAACTGGTGTCGGGGGGACCCTCTGGGAGGACAGGAGAGGGAGATTTTCCACCTTTATGTCCTCTTGTACCTTTTGAATTTTTAAACCATGGATCTAGCCCTTATTCAGAAATAAATAAAGTTTGGGTTTCTGTAGGCAGCACACCACACACCTGAAGGTTGTCCGCCAACACTGGGAGAACGGGAGTCGCGAGGACGGACTGGCCATCTCTACTTCTGGAGAGGGGGCCCCGGCCCAACCCAGCCCCCGCCTGTGCCCAGGGTCCCAGGGGGGGGTCCGCCTTGAGTCCACTGTCCACAGGCCCTTCATTCCTCAGCTGGGAACGGCATCTTTTATTTAAAAATACTTTTATCTTAAGCTACCAATTCTCGCTCACACACGCCACACTCACACACAGACACGCAGACACCTCTGTCACCAACAGTCTTTTCCCCAAAGTTCCACCTTGTCTCTGACCCGCCAGGCCTCAGTGGGCTGAATGGGTCCTCACAGCTCTCCAGGGTGGAGTGGAGACGTCCCAAAGGCCCTGCCCGGCCGTTGTCCCTGGTCCCTACACAAAGGGGTGGGTTTGGCTTCTGGGGTCTTCTCCCCTGTGCAGCCAATGGCTGACTCCCGGCCTCCTTGGGTGTCCTGTTTGGAGCAAATTCCGCAGGGGCCCTGGCTCATCTCCGTGGCCCTCGAAGGGGGGCCACTCCCCTCACCTTCAAGCAGCTGCCTCCCAGGTCACGACGGCCACCCTGTAGGAGGGAACAAAGAGGGTTAGGAGATGAGTTGGCCCACTGTGAACACTGGAACTAACCTCTATGTCCAGCAGTTGGGGATTGGATCAGTAAATCAGAGTTTAGCCATTCACTAAAGAAAGTTCTCTGTTGTAAAAAGCAGAAGAAACCCTATGCACAGTCAGGGAAGGCTGTGGAGGGACACTGTTCAAGGGTAAATCAAGGGTGGAACTGAGTGAATAGTTTCTTTTTGTGGGGGGTACCAGGATTGAACTCAGGAGCACTAGACCACTGAGCCACATCCCCAGCCGTTTTGTATTTTATTTAGAGACAGAGTCTTCCTGAGTTGTTTAGTCCCTTGCTATTGCTGAGGCTGACTTTGAACTTGTGATCCTCCTACCTCAGCCTCCCAAGCTGCTGGGATGACAGGCGTGCACCACAGCGCCCGGCTTGAGTCAATACTTCTGTAAGTTGTGGTTTCTAGAGAGAAGTGCATGTGGGAAATGGCCAGTGGGAGTTTTTAGAGGACAGGGATTTCATGATGAGGAGACAGGAGAGGGGGGAGGCCTGTTCACTGTGTGTGTGTGTGTGTGTGTGTGTTACCTTCCCCATCCTTCCCCACATGATCTATTGCCTTAAAGAAATTGAAACATGACCTCCATTCTTAGTCTCCCTTGGCTGGGAATATGCTCTCAGGTCTTGTCTCCCTGGGATTTTTTTTTTTTTTAAACTCTTGGAATCACTTAGTACTTCCTGCCTTTTTGGGGCAGGGGCATTCACTAGGGCAAAACGCAGAAAGGGGAGACAGGTCTCCCGTGCTCCCCATCTGGCTGGAGGTGCTGGGAGGGCAGGAGAAGGCCTCCCTTCTGAGGCTCCATTTGTAGCTCAGGGGCTGGCACGGAGCAAGCACCAGCAGGTGACTTGGAAGCAGTGGTGGCCATTGGAAGATGAGCTGATGGTGGGGCCCCTGAAGCCACCAGTCCCCCGCCTGACAGGGGCAGTCTCTACCCGCCCTGCCATCCACAGTCTCAAGTGGATACACAGAAGCCAGAGAGGTCACGGCCTCCCTCTTTTGAGGCCTCCAGCGTTGAGTGAGGGGCCCAGAGCCACCCAGTCGGTTGGTGAGAGCAGGCCTAGAAATCCCTGTGGCCAAGCGGTTCTGTCTCCAGGACACGAGGCTGCACGAAATCTCACTGCAAATGCTTGTCGCCCAGAGGACGGACCTGGCGGCCTCTCGGCC